GAGATTGATACCTACCTCGTATTCGTACGTCGTTGTACGATTGCCTCACATGAATCGACATTGTTAAGCAAGGAGCACTCCTAGGCGGGTCTCTTTTCGGCAGTCCTCACCACGTTCAATGTGCAATCATATCTCCTCCTCCAGCCCGCCACGCCCGACCCTTCCATCGCTGTGCTGCAACAGATCTCTTTGCAGCTTGCGAGCTTCTCCATTCACCCTCCCTTCGTCAACTCGACGCAGCCTTCGAGTACAACCCGCCCAAACGCGAACACCTCACCTCCTGTCCCGCGCTGGGCCGTCTGGCTCAACGCGCTGTGGTTCTCCGGCCTCATCCTTAGCTTGTCCTCCGCGTCCGTAGGCATCATGGTCAAGCAGTGGCTGAACGAATATAGCAGCGGCGCCTCGGGTACCTCCCCCCCTGTTGCTCGGGTACGCCAGTATCGCCTGAATAACCTGAGAACGTGGCGTGTCGAGGACATTATCGGCGTCATCCCCATTCTCCTTCAGCTTTCCCTCGCACTCTTCCTCTCCGGAATTCTCATCCTCCTCTGGACGCTCCACGATACCGTCGCGGCCATTGCATCGACTCTTGTCGGCCTTCTTACACTCTTCACCGTGGTTACCACACTTCTCCCTCTCGTCAACCACAAGTGCTCCTACCTCACCCCGCAAATCCGTGCAGTAAACGCCGCCTGGCAACCAAAGCGCATCTCATACTGGGCGTGCTCCTCCATCTCGGCATGGTGCCACGCGATCTCTGTGTTCCTTGATAGCACTCGGCTCGCCTCCTGTCACACCCTATCCTCCTTCGACCCTCGACTGCATCGCTATCTGACACGGCTCTTGTTGCGGGTTGCTATCCCCAGTATACAATCCATTTTTTTTCGCCTAGGGCACGCTTTGAAGACACCGGAGACGTGGAAAGAGCGCAAGCAGACATGGCAGGGTCGCGAGCGGTCGGCAATCGACCAACTCGCACGTGGCCTGGACAAACAAACCCTCGTTGAGGCGTACAGCACCACGTTATCCCCGGACGCCCTCTCTGCCGCATCCGTGTGTCTCATGGACCTCTGCGATGACGACGTCATCGACTACTTCCAACAGCTGCACAAATCGGTCCGAGAGCACTTCGGCCCTGCGGCGGACTCGGAGTACGGTCCTCTCGGGAGGGGCAATCAACAGCAGCTGCTATGGCTTCAGATCATCTTGCGCATACTTTCGTGGCCTCATCTGCGTCTGTCGGACGACGAAGCGGCTGCCCTAGGTGTCTACTTCAGATGTGGATGGTGGTCGTCCAGTCTGCAGGCGGCCGACGCAGAATGGGCAGCGTCGACTTGCAATGCTATTTCCGACCACCTCGAGTCCAAGGGTCCTTCCTCTAAGCTGAAGTTCATTGACCAAGAACGGCTTGAAATCGAGAAAGTATATCTAATTCGCAACGCTATGGCACGCGAGAAACCCCTAACAAATGTCTTTCTGCGAGGTGAGATCATCCTTCCTCCTAGAGCTTTGCACATACTGATCCAATCCTCCTGAGAAGCCGTTACCGGGGCATACCGCCAGGTTCGCCTCAAGCAGTCGAATCTCACGGATGCGCCTTCGGACGACACGAAGAACGCTCATACGAGGTACCTGCAAAGCGTCGACCACTTCCTGTTTTGTGCCAATCACGCCTTGACACCATCCTTCCCTCCCAACGACCTGAAGACTGTTCGCGCCTACACGGGGGACATTCTGGCAGAGTTGGCTCGCGTTCTGCTCAAAGTCCTCGCTGCAGACAGAACCCAATTCGTGCGGACCACAGTCGATGCGGCGGCTCTCTTCAATGTCATATACGGACTCTCTATGGCGGCCTCTAACGGTGTACTGCAATGCATATCTGAGGCCCTTCGCCCCAAGATTCTGCGCATGACTGACGCACTCACCAGGCCATATAACTATGCAGACGACACTTGGGGGTACAGCAGGATGATACCCGGCTATTCCCGCCACCTGAAAGCCAAAATTATTCGCATCAAGGGCAAGCCAAACACCGAGTATGTACACATCCACGTCTCTGTCTAAAGGAAGACACATCTGAAAGGTTTCACTATCGATTCAGAACCCAACTTGCCAAATCATCTTCCGACCCCTCGGAAAGAGAGGCGGTGGCGTCTTCAAGCCTTGCGGTCTCGCCAAACAGTGCCGTCGGGGACAGTTTGTCCAGTGCAGTTGCCGATCCAGGTGTGGCTTTGCAAGAGCCCCACGCTTCTCCCCCGGAGACCGCTTCCTCGTAGGCCTTTGTCCTCAAGCGGTTCCCGCATTGGTATGTAGACTCAAGCACGTAAGAGGTAGACCCGCCCGCTGACAATTTCCATCACAGATCCCGTTGATCCTCCGCAAGATATCCATGCTTCACGCCGTTTTCTCGGCCCTTCTTTGCTGCTCAGACGTCTCTCTTCCGTCGGTACCTTCGTGCGTGGTGCCCTCTACACCACTGCGAAGCGTATACGACGGGGGTCACACCATATTGTTTACTCGCTGGCCATACCGGTGTCCCTATCTACCAAGTGTGCCCCAACACCATCCGTTGAAACAATCGAACACGCCCGATCACACCTCATCCTTCGATTCCCTCGAATCCTCCCCTTCCCAATCATCTACCATCCTGAAGCCGTCTTCCTTCAGTTCTTCACACCCAGTTCATAGTCGCATCGACGCCCTCACTGAAGTCTCCATATAGCTCATGCGGTCCACCTTCAACACATCGATTTCTCCTCCTACGTACTCGAAGACGCCATCGCCCGGCCTCTAACCAGTGTGCGACGTTGTTCACAGCTCTGCAGCAAATTTTCTCTCACGGGCTCCCGACACGGCTCACTCAACTCGTTTTCCGCCGTCCAGAACGATCCCATCTCCCCCTACACGATCTGCCACCAGCGTTGCGCACGCGCACACCCACTCCTCGACCCTTCTGATCCCAAACATTCCCGTGCACTGCCCACATCCCAAGATTCCTTGCCCTTTCTCTCATCTCCCCGAATCTTGATATGGCTCTCGTCTCATTCTTGGGTTCAGATCGTCATCTCGCTTTTTTACTACGTACGCCTCCACATAATCTTGGAGTCCCATCCACGATCTTCGTGTTCCAGTCCTCGCTTACATTGTCTCGTCATATACATTCTGTACTTGAATGCTGTACCGTAGCGGCCCTCTCGTCGACGATCATCATACTAGTTCGAGTACGCCGTGTCACCGATGTTGCTACCCGCTTTCCGAATTTCTTGTTGTGCTACCTACTGCCATTCCAGGCTTTCTCAGTGTCCATCGTATTTACATGTCTCTCAAACACCAAGACGCCCTTCTGGTACCTTCTCTCAGAGCGGGTACGTGTGGAACCAATCTTCCTATAGGTACGATACGTGCTATACATACTACGTGCCTCTTGCGTAGCTTTGTCAGACAGTGTATGCGTATCGTCGGAGGCAACAATGCGCGTCCGAGTTGAGCTACACACGGAGATGTACGGAGACGAAATCGTAGGACACAACGGAGCCGGAGCGGACTCGTTACGAGCTCAATAACGAAAACATACCAGCGTACGTTGAACACACGACTGTGTGTCCCTTGCGTGTCCTCTAAACGTGGGCCCCTGTCTTGGGCAAGGGATGGGGCGCGTAGGTGTCCGGAGCGCGGGTGCTGGACGCAATCTCGGGCGCCGTAGCGCAGCTCACGAAGTCTACGCGCTTCTCTAGAACAGCGCGGCCCGCATCTGGCAGATAGAGCACAACGAGGATGGGTACCTAAAAGCTAGTTAGTCGTTGGGCCTAATAGAGCTAGATGTATGCGCCTACTCACTTGATATTGTCGGACGCAGAGCCATAACGGCCCTCAAAGGTACTTTGCTTCACATAGCGATGTGATCGTATGGATTCAAGGGGCTATTTTCGAGTATAAGGAACCCCGTCGGACGAATGAAATCGCACACTGGGTGCCAACGTACCCGAGTGCGCTAGAATGCTGCTTCCCGCTGTCCGGTACCGATCTTCGCCAGAGAAATCGCTTACTTGTACATATGTAGAAGCGGTGGGGCGCGAGCTTTGGTGGCTCAGCCGACGATACAACAGGTAGCTTGGAGGAGATAGGCGTACCGCGCAATGTATACGGGTAGCTCTGCAACGCAGCTGTCACAAGCGAAGGTAATTTGCTCGTTGCAGTGCTGAGCGAGGCCATGCGGAGCAGATGGCTGCAAGGGTTTTGGTATCTGGGTCGGGGGCCATGGCGGATGAGCAGGATAGTGAGGTACGTACGTGAGGTAAACAAGTGCCCCATGTCTTTGGGAGCGACGGTGGAACTGGCATGAACCCCGCGGGACCTGAGAGCGACGGTGGTACGTATATGTGAAGGGTAGATGAACGTCTGCGGAGGTACTGTCCACGTTAGTCCACTCAGTGATATATCAGAGTCGTCGAAGGCGACGTACCGGAAGTGCGCTGCCCATACGTAGCGCCGCCGTCCGAGAAGCACCGCCCATCGATGTCCTTCCAAAACCAGAGTCGTGATTATGCGTAGTGCTGAGCCAAATGAGGGATACGTAGTCAGATGTGGCAGTCCGTCACCGCTGCTATTGAGCATTCACTCACCGGGGCGAGAAAGATACGCAATTTTATTCCAGCTACAGTGAATATCCACTGGAACGGCGCCAGGGTAGGCGGCGGAGATCTTGCCAAGCTCAGAAAGCGGGCCTGTGGCTAGCGAGTCTCAAGTGAGGCGCCGGCGAGCCAGAAACGATGCCAGAGCGATGTAGCGGGGCTGCGTGGAAGAGACGTGGTGGGAGCAACGACCGATGACGCGCGCATGCGGGCGTAGGGCGGCGAGAGAAGCGCGGTCACGTGGGCGCGCGTCTCCTGCCTGGGCTCTGCAAGCGCCGTCGTTCGCCCGCGCTCTGACCGCGACTCGATCTTCCTGCGCCTCGACGCATCACTATAGCTCACTCGCATCTTATGTTCTTGCGCACCACCATGCCAGAGCTCTCAATACACTCCAAGCTGCCCCGGCGGCGCAGTGAACCCCTCTGTGGCTGGATTAGTGCCAGCATCTCGCACGATCACCAGTTCTCGGTGGATCTCGGTACGTTCACACATCCTCGTATGCACGATTCTTGCCAATCTTGCATGCATTGAAACTCCCTACTATTTCTCAAGGCGCCGTCCGCCAGTTTCCCTCTTTCCATTCTTGACGCCTCGCGGATGGGCTTGTCAAGACATCATCCTATTCCTCCCTGCGCATACGCACGCGTAGTCCCGGGAGATGTGATCAATCTTTAACAAAAACCGGCTGTAACTCCCCCACCAGACGAGAAGACACACTCCCCCCGCGGTTCGTCGTATCATTCCCATTGCATTTCCGACGTCGCTCGCAGTGAATACGATGTACGAATCACAGCATAGCGTCTCACTTCGCCACGTTTACAATGCACGTACATGCCCCCCAGGGCCATATCTCATTGTATTTATTCTTCTAATTTTTGCCCAGAAGCAGGCCGCACACGCTCAGATCTGACTTCCGACGTGCCCTTCACAGCATCCGCCGACGACGCCTCAAGCACCACATATATGCGGTTATGTGGGTTTTCAACGTGCACTTCTGGTGTTCCCTCGCGTACGTCAATACCCGTTTATAGGGTCGTTCCTGCTACGGGCTCACTTCCGCGTTTACTGCTAGCGCGTCTCTTCTCTCCCGCTCTCGCGTTGAAGCATGATTACGACGAGGAACCACGGTATGTGGCCCATCCCACACGTTGCCTTTCCGCATGCACGTTGATAATGGAATACCGTCTAGTGCTCTGTTTACCGTCGCTATCAGCACTCATGTCGTAGATATAGACATCAAAAACGACGATTTCAGCCCGACTCAATCTCAGCTAGTCGCCTTCGAGTATACAGCACTCCCACACCTTCCTGCCAATGCTCAAATCACGCCCGTGTGAGAGAACTGTCGGACGGCGTTCGGCGCGTACGCCAACCATGGCAAAGCGGAACTCTCCTCCGACCACAGCTCAGACGTCACCCCATTCGATGTCTGTACGTGTACGTCCGCCTGCGGCCAAGGAGGTATGTAGACGACGTGCAATAGCTCATGCGCCGCTAATCTATAAAGTGTCCCGCTAGCCGTTACAACACATGGCGGACGCCCGGATTTTCACATCGGAGTCTGTGCGCAAGATGCGCGCATATTCAAGCAGAATATTCTTCGAGTCAAAGGTAAGTGCGAGACAGCTTTTGTACTCACATGTGGCCCGTGAGAACACAGACCAGCTGCTAATGGTGTTTTCTGCCCTCTAGAACATGCCTCACGCCATCGCCTGTCAGTCCATCGGCGCCGGAGGCAGTGGCGAGGCCAAGCCTTGAACTCCTGCCCTCGATCTCGGTCGTCGATCACCAAGACAGCTCATAAGAGCACACGGCCGATCTTTGCGGCGCATCCCAATATGCATATAGTGTCCTGAGGCTCCACTCGCTCGTATGTATGCTCCAGCACGTACTTACCAGACGCGTTGATTGGGTCACTTCACAGATATCTTGTACCATCCTTCGAGAACTCTGCCCTTGTCCCGCTGCGTTCCGCTAAGATCCAAGAACCTTATATCGTCGACTTCGCAACTGAAACCAAGCCATCAAAGCATGTTGCTCTTTCTCCGAGGCGCATGTGTAGGCACACATCCATCATGTATAGTCCTTCCCCCCGTTGGCCGTCACGATCGCCTCGATTCCCTCGCACGATGCGGCTCATGCCGCTGTCCAAGTGCAGATCCCGGATGGCTCCCCATGTCTACTCCCAGGCCACCCACCGTGGCCCAGCTCCTCGCGCGTGCACTCGACCGCGGCTCCTAGCTCCTTCGAAAAATGTACTCAGCCATCCCGGACGCCTTCCCGACTCGTTTCCCCCTGTCCGGAAAGATCCTATCGCCCTGCCACAGAGTACCAGCGCTGCACACACACTCACACTTTCGGACACTCTGATACCTGGATCCCGCCGTACATCGCCCCACATGCATTATTCATCTCTTGCGCTCGTCTCCGTGCCCTTTAGTATGCTGCGCTACCAGTCCCGTATTCCAATCGTTGGCTCGGTTTCTTGCTATATTTGCCTCTGCACGTTCTTGATGTTTGCCTACGATACGCGGTCTCGTTGCCTTCGCTCGCGCCGCCTCGTCGCGTACACTCTGGGCTGCTTGGGAACTGTACGATGACGAACCTCTCGATGTGATAGAATACCATGTCCGTCGTGTCGCTATCCGTTTTCTACAATACATTCTGGGATATTTACGATAATTCACACCTGTCTATTCCATCCACCCGCCTATCGCGCGACGAGGCAACTCTCCGGTGGAAAGAAAAATCGTTACAGGAATGGGTATGTGTGCATCTAATCCAGATATCGATACGAAACATGCATTATGTACGCCCTGACGTAGGTCCGCGCCGCCCCCGGGTCCACGTACACAGTCTGTCGTGGGTAGTGATACCCATCGAGGTACACGGGCCCCATGGAGAGTCAGATAATGAGATACAACTAGGCTGTAGAGCCTGGCGAAGCAGCCTCCACGCGTGCTGTATCGGGTGGTATACATGTGATCAAAAAACGACGGCACATCTTGCAAGTCGTCCTCGAAACGTGCACCGAAGAGTGGAGGCCCGTCAGCGTCGTGAACACGACAACAGAGCACAATGAGAGCTCCGTACCAGAACCTAGGAATGCATACTCGCTCCCGGGACACAACACAGGCATTCAATCAAAGATAGAGACGACGAAGGCTCATATCGGACAGGTAGTCAGTCGCGAGGACTGATATGGATAGATGTATGCGTCGACTCACCTGTCGTTTTTGAGCACTGAGGCATAGAGATGTGTCAGAAGTCCCGAGGGGAGCGGTGAAGAAAGTGAATTAATGGCATAGAGACGCGGCTGTAGGCCGCGCACTTATATACTACTTACAAACGAATTTTCTAGTACTACCTAAGTAATCGCTTAGTCATCGTGTCCTAATCGAGAAACCATACGAACTTTCCAGCGCTAAATCGCGCATTCCAACAAGATGGTACAGAAGCACCCTGGAGCCCGGAGCCCGTTGCTCTCTTGATCTGAGTCGCGGATCCTATTCAGAAGTAATGCCTACAAACGAAAGAGATTTTGCGCTCACAGAGGCGACGTGCCCGAAGGCACGGAAGTGCCGGTCGTTTTATCGAGGCAGTAGTGTAATCAGGAGTGCCTCTTCCGTTCTGTCAGAAGTGGAAGCGCGGCCACATCTGCGGTGCTGTAGAGGTGATTCGACATTAGTCAGATACGCTCAGGTCTGGGATCTACATGGAGACGAACGGCTTCTCGGGAAAGTGTGCGGCGCAGCTTCCTCTTATGAAGACTTCTTGTGTGCGCGTGCGCTCGATTTGCCTCGCGTATGGCCGTGACTACCAGCCGTAGCGGCTTGAGCAACACTTGAGTGACGTGCAGGGGATTACCAAGAGTAAGATATCTTGGAGCAGAGGTGGAATCGAACAAGCCCGGGAAGACGAGAGTGACGAGGGAAAACCACTTACCACAGAATGAAGAGACATGCCTTGAAGAGTGCCGTCGGTGTTATCTTACATAGAAGTGTACCAAGTCGGTCCGACACGTAAGACTTGCCGCCGTCCATGAAACCGTCGCCCTTGGTTTCGAGCGCAAAGTCGTAGACGGAGTGCAAGGACAGTTGAAGCGCTGCAGTTACCTGAGGCTGTATGCGCCGCTTCGTATCAGGCAGGTGCGTACGGGGCTGAGGCGGACAGGCAGAGTTCAAGCCCCAGTACTAGTGGAACCGGTCCTAGAGTGATGCTGGGACAGACAGAGGGTAGAGCACCAAACAGGGCGTAGCTTGAGGTGAAGCGCAAGCTTGACAGCGAACGACAAAGGGCATGAGGTGCGCTCTGCGTGAGACGTGGTGGGAGCAACGAGCGATGACGCGCAGGCGGGCGTAGGGCGGCGGGAGAAGCACGGTCACGTGGGCGCGCTTCTCCCGCTTCACGCGGCATTCGCTCAGTAAGCGCCGTCGTCCTCCTGTGCTTTGACCGCGAAACGATCCTCATACGATCCTCATCGCCGTCCACATTGTGTATACTCTGCTACTTCTTTTGATTCTCTCTAGTTATTCGTGCACTACTCTTCTAGTCAAACTATGCGCTCCTTCAAACTCAGGCTTCAGGCGTTCACGCAAGACCAGTAGCCGTGCGACGGCCCGCGGAGAGCTTCTCCTTGTGCGATCATGCAGTCTACCTTAACGCACCTCATTTACAGCTCAGAACACTTTGTAGTGTACAGACGTATCTTTATTCTCTGCAAGGTGCAAATGGCGAGGCATTCCCGTGTTGTCTACGCTCCGGATCAAGATACTCGTCATACGGAAGGAGAATGATGTCTCTGGACCGCTCGCATCTTTTCAACAATGCAATCAGGCTATTCGGTGAGTATAACCTAACCTTTGCTCCCGCCTGTGGCTCGCCATCGCTGATCGCCTTCGGAAGTACGCCCATATATCCGTGTATATGCGGCAGCGCCGCGCAAAGTGTCCTAGTTTTACCATCGTTACCTCGTGAGCATCTACTATCGCCAACACTTGTCCTCGTCTCTTGCTCACCCTCAGGCGCCACTCCAAGAAGTGCAGGAGGTACGCCCCTGTGTTCAACATGTCTTCCTCTCTCGCAGCATGTCTCTTGCAGCTCCAATGCGCCTCTCCGCCGCATCTTGCGCTGCCTCTAGACGCCCCATTGTCCACATGCAGCTGCGCTACTTCCGTTCACGTACATCCGGACGTTTAATAAAGAAACATTGCGCATAATTCGTCCCGCCAAAGGTCTATCCATAGAGTCAGGACGTTTCGCGGCGGAGCGGTCCCGGACGACAAAACGAGTTCAGCCGCGCATGTTGCTAGACGATGTGGAGCAAATCGAATCCACTCGGTGAGTGAGTGCATCATCCGCGCGTACTCGCTTTCGCGGAGTTAACAGGTTCATATCGGTCAGGATACTCGGTAATGGCGAGGAAGACTGAGAGACTATGTATGTACAGCCCGTAAAGCTCGAGTCGGTAGGTTTTTACTCCCCTGCATCTGTGTATAACAGACCTCGCTAACATCGCAAACACCGTAGCCCCACACCAAAGTGGTACTTCCCCGGTAAGCAGTCTATGTACTTTCGCCGCTCGACGCGGGGAGGCTGTGGCCCGGGTCTGACCGGACTGCGTACTCTGACCCATACCAGTTAGCAAGCTCATGAGCGGGAACGTCTCACGCGGCTCCGATTACTATCGCGCAGCGCACTACCACAAAGAAGCTGTTTGAAACCCGCCAGGCTCTTCAAAAACCGCCACTATATTGTATGGTGAGCTCTGGTGTCTCGTACTTGGCGTACTTCGGAAGAACACCAATCTCTGCGGGTTAAGAACATGTAGGATGTTCGATGTACGCGGAAGAGTAACTCGGAGCGGGTATTTCGACAGCCTGTCGCACCCCGGGTGCGACTCCATGCAAGATCTCAGTCTTGTAAAGTGTCTCAAGATGACCTACCTCCGCGCAGAGAGAGACGGTGACGTTTGTAGCTCCTGTGTAACGTATGAGCCGATGCTGATTTTCTGCGTAGCGCGGCGACACCGGGTCAGAAAGGTACACACCATGGACCGTATCGAATCATGCATCGAGAACGCGTCGCCAGCCGCAAAACGTGGGAAACAGACTCTCGTCGAACTCGGTGAGTGACTGCTGCGGTTGCATAGTGGTTCGTCTGACTCTCAGGCTGGCAAGCGGCGGCTTCGCACTCCGCTTCCTCGTCACAATCCTGAGGACGTACGTATGATACTCCTCCTCAGCCTTCGGACAATGTATGGTCCATGGAGAGCAATCGGACGCACTTGATCTGTCCAATGGCACGTACGGTACGCCGGAAATCGGCGGCTTGAGTT